AAGAAGTCTGCTAAGCCACAGGAGCCTGGGCCGGTGATGCCGGTGTGGATGCCTGGTGTGTAACTAACTGCGCATGAGGTTATTGCCCTTCCACTCACTGTATATGTGCTTAATATTCTTGACAAGCAGTGCATTTTAGGTGTATACGCTAAGTTAAAATTCGTTAAATAAAGTGCGCTCTGATCGATCTAAAGATCATTTCATGTCACCCGGATATAGCAGCAGATAGTTGTTACTCGCTGATTCTATCAGAATTAAATAAAACCAGGAAATTTGTCTGAGGAATTGTCATCTTTTTTAAGTAATCCCTTTATGAAATTCTTGTTCCTTATAACCCCAGTTAAATGGATGATTCAAGAGCAAACAAAAAGGATATTCGGAATACGTCCCCTCGTATGAATTTTCTTCAGTCATTGTTATGATTAATACAGAAAAGAGCGAAAAAGTCTTTTGGAATATCGACTTTCGAAGGTGTTCTTTGACCTCTTCTTGGTTCTTGTAAGTAAACTGAGAATGATCGAAATTGTGCAATTAGATCTTTTAGATTTTGGTACTTCTTGTCTCGAGTTTTAACAACGAACAGATATGACGCTTTGGCCACCGTACCTCGCTTTGTAATATCTCTAACAAACTCGGTATTAAAAACCAGCCCGTTACAAAAATATATTTCATGCCACTAAAAAGCTCCCAAGTGGTACCTCACACCCATTTTCACCCCTCCCCACGCTCTTATAAACCCACTAAAATCGCGTTTCTTGTATGGTCCTGTACAACCTCGTACCCAGACCTTACCGCGTAACTGTAAGTTACAACCGCTTGGCCGGGAGAGGTCTGAGTACGAGACAAGCCAAGGTCCTGTAAGGTTAGTTGAAAATCGGAGAGTTTTCCAAGTATAAGAAATTCTCTACGGTAAGCGATTATTAGCTTTCTTTTGCTTGCGAATGACGACAAAGCGTGCAAAACATATATTTACTCAGGTTGTAAAACCATTCTGAGTATTCTTTAGAATCGCCCTACAGGTCACGTATTTGATATGTCAATGGTCTACATTGCAAAAAGTAAGTACGCGAAAAAGTATTTGAATCAGCGTCTAATTACGATCGCCTTCCCAATCTGGATTTAACTCGTTAAGACCTGTGCGAAGGGATACTCAGAAAATGTACACAGAAGGGTTAACATAGCAAGTTTCAGTGCAATATGTTTTGAGTAAACAGGGGGCTCGACAATGGAAGGCATGGCAGTCTTTGCCAACGGGTGATTATGCAAATAAATTTATCACTGACTCTAACTCTTATTATTCAGTCTTCCACCTACGTGAGTACAAAGTAAAAAACAGATAAATTAAAGCGCATCTGAACAGGAAGGACATGCGAACAAACAACGAAGGAAAATTTGAACCGCGTCAAATCATGGCCATGAATAGTCAAATCATGGCCATGAAGGCAAATTAGTGGCGTAAAGGGGGAAAGTTTCTAAAGAAACTGTGTTGCTGCGTCGGTGGAGGTAACAAGATAATTTGGTTTTATCAACTAAGTTGAAATTGTAAAGTTGGCCATTGTAAAGAGTAAAAAAGCTGACGTTTCGAGCGTTAGCCCTTCGTCAGCTTTTTAACTCTTTACGTTGGCCAATTTACAAGTTCAACTTTAAGTAGTTGATAAAACCAAATTAATGGGGTGTTTTACCTAAATGGATGTCTATAAGTCGGCTTATTTTAAAAAGCCGACATATGACTTGATGACGTGCTATCAAGAAAATGAGTCTTAAAAGACTCATATTTCTTGACAGCACGTCATCAAGTCATTACAACGTTCGCACTTGCGCAGACATGCGACCGCTGTGTTTATTTGAATGTACAAGTGTTGTTTTTTAATTTAAGTGAGACGTTCGCTGGGTTGATAGGAATACACTAAGAAAACCTGAAATCCCGATGACTCAAATTACGGTCTGAAACAAACCTTGGAATTTTGTTTATCGAACTTCCATTCGCGTACAAATCAACTCTGAGATCGTCAACGACCAAGGGACAAAGAAAAAACTAGTTCTTTGTGAGAAAGTGACCGCAAACTTCATCCGGGTGGTGGATTACATAAGGCTACTGAGAAATTGCGGTGGGCGTCAAAAGCATTTTCTATATTTATTCGAAAATTTGAATTTGTTTTGAAAATAGGAAGTAATGCGTAATGGAAATCGACTGATTCATTCTTATGATGTTGCGCTATCAAATGTCAAGGGGAACTGGCTATCGAGCACACCACGCGCGGCGAAAGGCGCCAAGACTCTCGAACTTTCGTTTTCTTCTTTCTTTAATCACTCGGTTTTCCAGTACACAATTTTACTTCCAAATTTACCTCATTCTGTGTAACTCTGGTCAATCTCTTATGCTCTTACACTTTGATTCTCACTATCTCACTGAATACTTCTCAGTGAGTTGTCCAAAAACATGCTTATATATTCACTATTGATAGATATGTATGGGTGGGCACGCCAGCTGGTTGACCCTGAGAGATTAAGTATTTGTTGTCGGAACACTAACCCAAACAATTTCATCTGAGACTTTCGAAATGAGCAACGAAGTACTTAATGCATTCAGTCAGCCAAATCAACCTCTGACTGTATTAGCCAAAACAAGAACTTTCGTCTGGATCCCAATCAACTGGTCGGTAGAAGAACTACGCACTTCCACTTGGAAGTTAGACAAGACAGTCACGATTCGGAAACTCATCGAGACAGAAACCTAAATAACTTCGAATTTTGAATTCATATATTAACTACATTCTAAATAGACTGAACGAATGACTAAATATACTGAACTGACTCACTAACCTGGGGCGTGACGTCCATATACGCACGTACGCCCGTGCGAACAGCTGAAATCTGGAAAAAAAATTGTTTATTCCCTTATAGCATTTGACACAGTTGCCATAAAATAGAACCAATTTTTATAATTTCGGCCTTCTAGTTTGAGGCACCTTCGGTCCCAATTTCAGCGCTGTGCGCACACTTTCAAAATTTTACGCTACGCCCCTACTAACCGACTAATTAGGCTAACGAAATACTTCAGAATGTCCCTACCTTCTTGGAGTGACCATCGTCCTTGATGCTTCTAAATATATTGATCAAGAAACAATAAAAAAATGACTCGTAAAACAACACTTATTGACCACTTTCAAAAATGGCTGCCGAATTGATATTCTTTTGTTTAAATTTAAATTAGCCTTTCTTGCCTCGTTCTCTAGTTCAAAATTCAAAAGAATACATTATCTCAAGCGAGGCTAGTGAAGCTAATTTGAATTTAAACAAAAGAATATCAATCCGGCAGACATTTATGAAAGTGGTGTATGGGAAATCTATTTTCTTGATTGCGACTAACAATGTTTCGTCTAACTCGCTTTCATTGTGCAAACTTTTAAAGAAAACTTTGTTGAACTCTTCAGTAACTTTCCTAGACTCCTACATTTCATGAACTTTTGCTGTTGTGATCAATGACAACTTTAACTTCAGTATAAGTACACTGGTATTCGAGGTTCTTGAAAATCCTGGTCGTGTTCGTAAAAGTGCATAATCATGGTCACTCTTTATTGGAGGACTATGAATGAAGGAAGCGGTGAGAGCACTCAAGAAGTAGAAAGAAACACTCCATCACTTCTCGTGTTTCCCCCACACTTCTATCGTGCGCTAGCCGCTTCCTGTGTGCTTTAAACCAGAACAGAGCTCCGGTCTTCCTTATTTGTCATGTCTGATCAGAGTTATATCAATCCCCACTGCTAACTCTCGTCGGATATCACAAAAATTCCGAGAACAAAGAGTCTTTTGAAAATGAAAAATCTCTGCCAGTTGGCCATCAGTTAATGCGAGCTGTTTGCAAAGTTAAAGGGAAATATTTGAATTGGTGAATAAACGAATAAACAGGAATAAATGTATGAGTAAGTTTCTGAGTATATTTCGTAAGAAAAAAATTGTTCTTCACCGACCTTCTGAATTAATTCGGAAACTTTTAAAGGCGACCGACTTGTATGGCTCTGGCTGAAAAAAAAAACAACAAAAAAAAACGTTAAAATATTTTTTCTCGGCGGCTTGACGCGTTAAATATTGAAGACAAAGTAGGGAAAAATAAAGAAATAAGGCCGAAGAAATTGCTACATAAGTTACGCGCTTAAAAAGAAAAGCTAGAATATTACGACAATCTTTTTGTTGATTAAGGGCCAATTGTTTTAAATCAAAATTTAAATAACCCTTTCTCGCAAAACCATTGATCCAAGTGCTCCAGCAGAGGGAAAATATCAATCAGTCAGAGTTAGATTTTTTCAAAGATTGAAAACTTTTAAGATAACCAATTCACTATTTCGTTCTAAAATCGGAGCTCTCTCGAAAATTATCAATTCAAATACATCAGCCGAAATAGAAATTTAAGAAAAAATGGAATTCACGGTTCGAAGCTCCATTTATTCCATCTAGGAGTTGTAAAATGAATGCACGCTATTCGTTAAACATTCCGCCATGACTTGCCGCTTTTTTTCGCCGGCAAAATATAACTCTTTGTATTGAAAGATTCCCCCAAAACACTGTATTTCCTTTTTTAGTCGATGAATACTTGTGATTGTCGTTCTAAAATGAGTCTGAGGTTATTAAGGTGATATTCTCGTGGCGTTTTCGTTAATTCATTCGGTAAGTTACCTTTTTAAACGGAAAGATTAAAAGCCGTGGATCTAGTTTATCTGTGCGTGTTTCTCCTTGTTTTTCTCAAAATTCTCGAAGCTTTTGATTTCGATTTTTATTGCCAGCATCGATCCTCGGTGAAATTTGGTTATTGTGGACTCAAGGACGATATTGTATATTGAGATATTGTTTACCGGAAACATTTGTTCAGTTGTGTAAGTCCTTCAACCTCCTGAATAAATCTTACGCCCTTTCAAAGAATGACGTCTTATGCCATATTTACAAAACCACATAGAATACAGCGAGCATGTTTATCCAGCCTTTTAAGGTAAAAATACTTTTCATCCTCGGAAAAGCGAAGGCCTTTATATAGATGTAACTATTTTTTCTTTTCAAAGACACAAGCGTCTACCTTTTATTTGATACTTGCAAACAGGTTGCACCTGATATAAATGGGAGTCTCTCTTGTTTAAGTTCATTATCTTAGGAGAGCGGGTCAACTCGAGTATCTTCATTTACCTTTGCGATAATTTGGACGAGAATGAAAGACATCGTTCGACTTTTTGCGACTGCCTCCTTGATAGTTGTTGTAGCTGGCCATGGAAGAATGATAGATCCTGCCAGCAGAAACTCTGCATGGAGATTTTTCTCCGGCCGTCCGAGGCAGTACACAGACAACGAACTGAACTGTGGAGGTTTCAGCGTTCAATGGAATGAACCAAACAATGGAAAATGTGGCGTATGTGGTGATGCGTATCACGACAAAAGCCCGAAATATGTCTACCCTGGAAAGTACGCTAGTGATGTTTTTATTACCAAGACGTACAAGGAGGGTCAAACGATCGACGTTGTAATTGACATCACGTCAAACCATCAAGGATACTTTCGATTCAGCCTCGGAAAACTGGTAAAACGTCCTATCACTCAAGAACAGTTGAAATACGTTCTGTTGCAGCCAGATGGCTCAAATACATGGCAGCTTCATTCGTCCCAAAATGGAAAGTTCACAATTAAGCTCGACCTTCCCAAGGGCCTGACATGTGATCACTGCGTGTTGCAATGGTGGTGGACTGTGGGAAACAACTGGGGCTGTGACGAAAACAACAACTGCGGAGTGGGACTGGGGAAGAAACAAGAGACCTTTGTAAACTGTGCGGATATTAAGATTGTGTCCGCAGGGGAACCGGGTGCTACAGAAGCCCCCAACACGAACGCACCAATGACGGAGAAACCCAATACTGAAGCACCTGCAACGAAGCCTCCCCCAACTGAAGGCCCTGGCGCCACAGCACCATCAACTACAGCACCTCAAGGGGTCTGTAAAGCTACAGGACAATGGACCGGCGATGCCAATATGGATGCCTGGTGTGTGAGGAACTGCGCACAAGGTTATTGCCCTTCCACTCACTGTATATGTGCTTGATAGTCTTGACAAGCAGTTTATTTTGCGTATATACACTAAATTAAAATTCGATAACTAAATTGCGCCCTGCTCGATCTGAAATCACTTCCTGTTGCCCGGATAGTCTTAAAAGATTGTTACTCACTGCAGATTATGTCAGAATTAAATAAAACGATGAAATTCATCTGAAGAATTTCCATCTTTTTCACATTCAAAGATAATCCCTTTATGAAATTCTTTCTTCATACCCCGGTTTCACGGGACTATTCAAGAGCAAACGAAAAGGATACTCGAAAAGGATACTTGGAATTCGTCCCCTCATATGATTTTTTTTCTAATACAGAAAAGAGTGAAAAAGTCTTTTGATATATTGACTGTCGAGGGTGCTTTCTGGCCTTATTCAGATTCTTGTAACTAAACTGAAAACGATTGAAATTTTGCAACCATTAGATCTTTTAGATTCTCCTACGTGCGTCTCGTGTAAACAACCAACCGTGGGGGGAGATCTCACGCTTAATTTAGCCACCGCGCCTCGCTTGATAACATTTCTTACAAACAACAAATATATATGAGATACATATATATGAACTGCGGTTATGAAACGTATATGTGCACGATCCTTCGCAGTAAAGCACTATTTAAGCAATAGTGAAAATCAGACCTGAAAAAAATTCAGGCCTGTACGGGATTCGAACCACTGACCTCTGCGATACTAGTGCAGCGCTCTACCAATTGAGCTAACAAGCCAACTGGGAGCAGGCCATCAAATTAATTCGACATAAACCCGTAGATGATAAATCAAACAACAAACATATGAAATACATATATATGAACTGCGGTTATGAAACGTATATGTGCACGATCCTTCGCAGTAAAGCACTATTTAAGCAATAGTGAAAATCAGACCTGAAAAAAATTCAGGCCTGTACGGGATTCGAACCACTGACCTCTGCGATACTAGTGCAGCGCTCTACCAATTGAGCTAACAAGCCAACTGGGAGCAGGCCATCAAATTAATTCGACATAAACCCGTAGATGATAAATCAAACAACAAACATATGAAATACATATATATGAACTGCGGTTATGAAACGTATATGTGCACGATCCTTCGCAGTAAAGCACTATTTAAGCAATAGTGAAAATCAGACCTGAAAAAAATTCAGGCCTGTACGGGATTCGAACCACTGACCTCTGCGATACTAGTGCAGCGCTCTACCAATTGAGCTAACAAGCCAACTGGGAGCAGGCCATCAAATTAATTCGACATAAACCCGTAGATGATAAATCAAACAACAAACATATGAAATACATATATATGAACTGCGGTTATGAAACGTATATGTGCACGATCCTTCGCAGTAAAGCACTATTTAAGCAATAGTGAAAATCAGACCTGAAAAAAATTCAGGCCTGTACGGGATTCGAACCACTGACCTCTGCGATACTAGTGCAGCGCTCTACCAATTGAGCTAACAAGCCAACTGGGAGCAGGCCATCAAATTAATTCGACATAAACCCGTAGATGATAAATCAAACAACAAACATATGAAATACATATATATGAACTGCGGTTATGAAACGTATATGTGCACGATCCTTCGCAGTAAAGCACTATTTAAGCAATAGTGAAAATCAGACCTGAAAAAAATTCAGGCCTGTACGGGATTCGAACCACTGACCTCTGCGATACTAGTGCAGCGCTCTACCAATTGAGCTAACAAGCCAACTGGGAGCAGGCCATCAAATTAATTCGACATAAACCCGTAGATGATAAATCAAACAACAACAAACATATGAAACATATGTATGAACTGCGGTTATGAAACGTATATGTGCACGATCCTTCGCAGTAAAGCACTATTTAAGCAATAGTGAAAATCAGACCTGAAAAAAATTCAGGCCTGTACGGGATTCGAACCACTGACCTCTGCGATACTAGTGCAGCGCTCTACCAATTGAGCTAACAAGCCAACTGGGAGCAGGCCATCAAATTAATTCGACATAAACCCGTAGATGATAAATCAAACAACAAACATATGAAATACATATATATGAACTGCGGTTATGAAACGTATATGTGCACGA